GGGGGGGGGGAGGGGTGGTGGGGCGGCCATGGCTTTGCAATATTTCGAGGCTCTCGTGGGCATCATTGGGGTTATGCTATTTACAGTGTTTTTCTGCCATTTCGGAGACCTTGCGGGGTGGCCCCCAGCCGCCCCACACGAGCATCATGAGCATCAGCTGGGCAGTGGCGTCCGCGTCCGTGGGCGTGTCATGAGCATCAGCTGCGGCGCGCTTCAACGGGGAGCCTGGGGCCCCAGCTGATGCTCACGATGCTCGTCCGGCGCTCCCAACATCGCGAGCCTTATTTTCTCTGGTTTCTCAGACGGGCTGTACACCCCGTGTATCAGAACCGCTATCTTCTGTCAGGTCTTGCGTGTTATCTCTGGGTCTGCCAACCCCTGGATTAGGGGTTGCAACATGTTGCAACTAAGCCAACCAACGCTTCCCTTTTGGGTGCAGTGCAGGGTATGCCAACCAATCACAGTTTCTTCTAAGCATCTTCTTTTCGGTTCCGGAGTTTGCCACCCGGGAACTGCTTGGAGGGGTTTGCCACTCGCGATCCTCCTTCAGGGTTTGCCTTTTGCCAACCGCGATCTTCCTTTAGGCCTTGGGGTTTCCCACCAAAGATCTTCCCTTAGGGTGTGGGGTTTGCTGGTTGAGAACGGTTGAGCATTAACGGGTTCGTCAACCACGATCCGCGATGTTCTTTCGGGGTTTGCAGTTTTCCATCCGCGATCTTCCAGTGTTTGTGGTTTGCCAGCCAGCATCTCCCATCTTGTTTGAGGGCTTGGGCTTGGGGTTTGCAACCCAGTCTTTTAACGCTGGGAGTTTGCCAGCGAACCCCTCCTTTTATTCAACAGTTTAGTTTGTGCCAAGCACGATCTTCTCGTAGGGTGAGGTGTTGCTAACCCCCCATCTTCTTTTAGGGGTTTGGGGTTTCCACCGGTGTTGTTTTAGGGCTTCGGGTTTGCATGGCTTGCCAATGTACTTAAACTTTTTAGGGTTTAGGGCTTGCCAACGGCGATCTTCTGTTAGAGTTTGGGCTGGAGGTTTGTTACCCACGAGATTCTTTCAGGGTCTGAGGTGTGCCTACCAAGGTTTCACATGTCGTTTCGAGTTCTAGGGATTGCAAACCAAGTGTGTCGAATTAAGGGTCTTGGGGTTCGCCCTTAGCTGCCCACGATCTTCAGGGATTACGGTTTTGCGCCCGTTATCTTCTTTCAGTGCTTGTGGGTTTCCAGTCTCTGTTTAGCGTTTTCGTGGAGGTTTGCCAACTAACATTCTTCTGAGGTGTAGGGTTTGGTGTACGGTGCGGGGTTTTCCCAGCACAATCTTTCGGTCTCGGAGTTTGCCGCCCGCGAACTTCGTGGAGAGTTCGAGAATTGCCACCCAAGATCTGTTTCATGGCTTGCGGCTTGCTGCCCACGATCCTCTTTTTGGGTTTGCCTCTTGCCAACCACGATTTTTTTGAAAGGGATTGGAGCTTGCCATCAGCGACCTTCACTTAGGTTGGGGTTTGCCAACGAGCATGTCTGTTTGAGAATTACATTCTTCGTTGCCAGACGTCACCAGAACGGGGACAAAGTCCGACAGAAGCGAGCAACACCGACCTCTCAGCCAAAACTCCAAGACCACAGGCCTCCAGGTTCTGCGCTCTGCGCCTTCCTGTATTTGCCTAGCTTTTGGGCGCGTGCTTCCCGTTGTTTGCCAAGCTGGCGTTCATTCACACCGAGAAATTCAAGATTTGCTTGCAGGTTCGGCGCAGCTTGCTGGGGACTGCTGTGAGATTTCGTCACAATGGGCGGGGTTGTCGACTCAGACACGGGCAAGTGATGCCTGTGCAAGACGAAAGCATAGGATTGCATGTAGCCGTGCCTTATGCACGAAAGGGTGCCAGGTGCTCGCTGCTTTGCAGAAGGCGTCCGTGCACCGAGTTTGCCAAGACGGTCAGGATAAGACAACCGCAGACTTCAACCGGACAACTGCATCCGAGACAGTCGATGTCTTGTTAGACGGTTGATTGCTACCCCCAATCACAGAGCTGCTTAAATCGAACTTTAGTGCGACACTCTTCTTATTCCAAATCGTCTTTGCACCTCTCCGCAATGTTTCTTCAACTGTGTGGACAACCTGCCTCATGTTCTGAACTCGTAGCCCAGAACCGAGAATATCTTGATGCCTTCGCCGGTGGTCCCCTTATGTTTCACCTGGTTCTAGCAGCACGCGATGACGCCGCAGTGCGTCAGTCACCGCAAATGCCAGAGTCGGGGCAGGCCCGTGCAGGCAGATGTTTGATTTCTAGAGAGACTTTCAGATTTCAGATGTTCTGAGATTCTTCAGAAGTTGCGCCGACATGACTACATGAGCGACTTTGTGCCGTGACCTGCAAACAAGGTTTTGAGACGTTCGGCGACTTAAACAAAAACGGCATGGAAGTGTGAACCCGCGTTAGCTCTCAAGGCTGTCGGAAACAGCACAGCCAAAACAGGACAGCATGATGATGAGGTATGACAGCGACATCGTAGACCAAAAGCAAGTTGTATCAGGTTGTACCAGTAATTAGGTAGGCTGAACAGGACTCGAGTTTTGTAATAGGAACTAAGCAGGAAGGCATGTTGTCAGATTTCAGAAGCGAGATTTGGCACAGTTACCGAAGGCAGATTGTACTGATTCCTCGGTTTGTTTGGTACTCATGCAGGGATACGCGGGCAGCAGCAGGGTGCCATGTCATCATGTGCAAGAAAAAGCAGCAAGGTGTTGGTTGACACTGACAGCAGATGCTGTGCAGCACCAAGGACAACAATGCTTCTTCGTTGCTCCCTGCAGCATCATCTGCAGTGACCACTTTACCACTATGGTTTGCGGGTGATTCGGAGTGCCTTTCAGTTCCACCTGTTTCGATTTTTGCAGAGCTTGGTATCCGACGCGGGTATGAAACTTATCATGTCACACGAAAGACCGGACAGGCTAAACAGTTGTCCCGGATGCCACCGAATGCCATGCTCGAAGCTGCCCGTTGCGCTACGACCGCAGCGAAGCCGCAGCCCTCGCAGAAGCGGTGCTTTTAGCTACAAAGCGGATTGTGCTGACGGAGGCCATTCCTGTGTCAAAGCTCCCAGTATTGATGGCAAGAGTGCAAGCAAACAGGGCTGCTGGAACCAGAGACGAGGCACTTCGACAAGCCAGGGCAGCAAAGTCTTGGAAGATGGCCGAGAAATTATTTCCATTCTCTCCGCCAGAAGGCCACTCTTGTCAACTGTGCCGCAAATGAGCAGACCAAGCATGTGGACAGCTGGTCGTGCTATCTGTGCAGGCCACAAGGGCTGCTGATGGCACGTTCTTCCCAGCTGTTCGAAGCAGCCTCGACGGGACAATGTCGCTTTTCAAAGTCGTGGCAGGCACAAGTCTGTCTGCCTTCTGCCCACCACACAAACTCGGCAGTGACGGTGTTGTCGAATTGCTTGACCCCGAACCCGACACCCCAAGACACTGCCTGCACTGCGCAGGTGCTCAAGTTTTTTCAGGGGCTTTTGGGCCTCTGCCGCCCGACCTGGGACGCTTTGCAGATGCCGGCGCCGCTGGAGACGGCGGGTACGACGGTGCCTTGAAACGACGAAGACTCAAGAGCAGCAAGCAGAGCAGCGCAGCCCATCGTGTTGTGAATTGGCGACTCCCTGGCAGGCTGCTCATCTCTTCCTTGCTTGTTGGGCGGCAGCATGCAGCTGGGATATTGGCTTTTTGGCCCTAGATCGCTGGAGTCAGGCTGCGTCAGACAGCTTCGACTGTGCTTGCGCCGCGAAAGCGGGTCCATCACTTTTCGGGCTGTGCACTCGACTCATGACTTTCACCAAGTCATTCCGAACTGTGCCCACTGCTGCCAGCACCTGGGCAGGAATCCACATGCCGTCCAGCAGAGGCGACGGCAGCAATGGACTTACTGAGACCACTTTTTGGAGAGGCCGAGGTTGAAACAGTTTTTGACCTCACTCGGATGCTGCTGAGCCGATGCAGGTGTCGTCGCTCTTCGGCCTCTTCACCCTGCTGCAGGTTGTCGACATCGGACCAGACGGGGAGGCCACGGCGGGGGCTTTCCTCGTGACCGTCTAGCGCCTGGCCATAGGGGCCTGTGGACCCCACCGAGCTTGTCCTGGGGGGCAGGGAAGGAGTGGACAAAACCCAGAGTTGCCAAAGGGGCCCAAGGAGAGTTCGAGAAGTGATTTTGGCAGGCACACGCCGGCCTCACAGCCTAAGCGGAGTAGTGGTCGGCAGAGTCGGCAGAGGTTCGGCCAACAAGACGTGCCACAAGCGACAATCCACAAGACACCAAGGAGCCAGGTAAATCCTTTTAGATCGTGTTTCTTTTTCCTGTTCCGCTTCGATTTTGTGTCTTTGCACTGGGCGAGAAATGCTTCATACTACCGGTAGTAAAGACAGACCCGAGGTTAGAAAACTACTCCATGCTTACGAAGACTGCACCCCGCAGCGAATCCCTGGACAACCTGGGCGAAATTCCACGACTCGCACCGACGGCATTTGGTGCATGGTGGCGTAATTCCCCATGCCTTGCGAAATCCGCTCGAAATCTGATGCGGAGCCACATGTTTCTCACCCGAGTCTTGAGCCTGCGAGCTCTGGGGGCATGCAGTTCCAGTTCGAAAGAAGTTTTTCGATTGCAAGTGTTCGCAGATTTTTGCAGCATCTTCTTAGGCTGGTAGTTGAAAGACCTTTGCAAGCTTGCGATTCCGTGGAAGAATTATAGTGCGTCAGGGTAAGTAAGCGCATGCTTTGAAGCAAGTCTATTGTGGTGAAGGAGAAGAACAAGGCCAAAGCGGACATTGTCAATCAGACGCAGATCCGGTTGCAACATGTCTGCTAGAACAGTAGGCTAGAGCATTTCCATACATTTTCTTTTTCTTGCTACTTACATGAGACAGTGTGTGAGCTGCTTTGTCCACGACAGTGCCAAGGCGTGCGAATGGTTCGTCTTGTCCGGTTTGTTTGGAAGACTTGGGACCAGATGCAGACGACGCCTTATTCGTGCATAGAACTCAAAGGGACGTCTCGCAGGCCAGTAAGAACCAGCTATTGTGTGAGCATTCCATTGCTTCCAAGGACAGGATTGTTGTTGCTCCATGTTCGCACGCAGTGCACTGGAGCTGTTATGCTTCAGCTGTGCGGGCGAAGACGTTTCAAGCCGGGCGTTGCCTGATGTGCAGAAAGGCAGGTGATTTAGGAGCAAAAGTTTCTTGTAGTGCTATTTGGCGTTGCAGTTTTGTTGTGTGTTTCAGGTTGCCTCTTGGTCCAACATCACTATCTCAAGACTACTTCGTGATTTCCAAGGATGCGCTTGCAGACGAAAATGCTTTCCAGATGCTTGGTTTTGCTTTTTTCTCACCTGAAATAAATAGGGCTGTATGACATCGGGCTCATGGGCTCTACGGATTAGCTGCTATTTTGATCCGTTGGGGTTTGTCGGTTTGTCTGGATGCTGCAGGATTTCTTGCCCGGACAGCAGCAGAGGAAGACTGGGTACCTAGGCTGTGATCGCGTGCTGCCTCATTCATTCGCGCACCAAAATCGTGTAGCCAGAGCCTTGTGCAAGGGGTCTTGTGATGAAATTCCTCGGGAATTTCTGGTGGCATCTGCTTGTGCGGACTTGTCCGAGCATTTGCCTCTGCTACACGAAGTCTCGATGTCGCTGGAATGCTTCTCGGCTCTGCCCCTTGTCAAGCGATTTAAAGAAGATGCAGGGCCAGCGGATGTGCCGGGAGGGTGCAATTTCATCAGGTACGTGGCGCAAAAGATTGAGGTTACGCCTTCGGGAGCATGGATGGTTGCTCAGGAGTTTGGCGCTCAGAGCTTGCATCATTTTTGTCGATTGAACGGGAGGGCTCCATGAGGTCTGCCCCCAAAGCCCTGCATCGCCTGCAACGCAAAACAAGCAAAGAGTCATGCCTAAGTGCACGAGCGAGCGGTCAGGCCACCTAAGCACGACAACAAGGTTGCAGATGCTTGTTTCAGGACCTTTGGGAGCGTGAAACTGCCTTGAATTTTGTCGACAAGGGGCAGCGGCAGGGGCGGGGCATGCGGGGCAGAGGGCAGGGGTAGGGGCAGGGGCAGGCAGGCAGGGGCAGGGGAAACCCTGACAATTCCAAATTTACTGCCGGCTCTACGACAAGTCTTTCGCAGCATGAGCTTGGCAATATGGGGGCTGTTCCTACTGCAATGGGAGTCAGTGTGTTTCAGTTTCCAGCGAAAACAGAGACACCCGTCATCACCCGTCAGTTCGAGGCTGTCTGCTGAGAATGCTTCAGGGCGCGGGCCCCTTGCTGGGCCAGGTGCAGAAGCAGTCGGCACGCGCCCAGCCTCCGTACCAAACTTACCTGGGGATTTCGGCACACGTGCTTGCATGTGCACTGGTGAAGGTTGGCTTTCAGCTCTGGGCTTAAGGTGAGGCTTCCCGTCGGATCCTTGTTGGTGTCTGCGTCCTCGGCGGATGGCAGTGTTCCGGGCTCTGCTTCCGTGCGCTGTGCGTGCTGCAGCATTTGCTATTGTCTGATCTTCCCGTCCTATGATAATGCATCCCAGGTTTGCCTCAACGAGATCGAGATGCAGAATGCGGCAGCATTCCAGCCCATGTTACTGTTTGAGATCCTGCGTGCGGCCAATGGCCTGTTCATTTGGCGTGTTCCGCTTCCGATGCATTTGCCGCTCGGGCGGAAATTGAGGTTGCAAGTGCGTGTTCTCGAGTGGCGGAGTTGGACGGAGTTGGTTTGGTTTCCGGTCTTTCACATGCCATAAATCCTCTGCTGCTCATGCAGCATCCCACGCACGGGGAGCACGACAGGGCACGGGTGAAGGTGTGGCAATTCAGGATACATCGGTGAGCTCCTTGTGTTGCGAACCTGTCCTTGCGCTCCTAACGACTCAACGACAGATGGAATACCGGTGGTGACATCGTCATTGTGTCGAGCTGCAACATTGAAAGATGTTATTTAGTGGGTCTCTTTCATGTCAAGGATCACACCGCCATCCTAGGGCATGCCCCCAAAGCCGAAAGCCAGACTGGCACCCTGCAAGCCTCGCGACGAAACTGAGTTTTCGACTCGGCGTGTCAGGTCTTTGCTCAGGAACAGACTGAAGAATTTCGAAGACCTTCGATTACGGTAATGCGAGTTTCTAGCGAATTGAGTTGCACCCAAGAACTCAGCCTATCGATAGGAAGCTCAATATGGGCCCTCTCCCATCTCGACAAGGGAACCACCAAAGCCGATCATCTTGGGAGAGAATTGCGATCGTATCAAGATGGGTGACGGAGCAATTCTAGCCATAGTATCTTGTCAATGATGTTGAGCTTGTGCCATGGAGACTCAAGCGTGGAGACTGGCTAACCGGTACGGTTCTGGCGCAGGGCAAAATGCGGCAAGCGCTAAATGTTCGCGGGCGCTGCTGAGGGGTCGCGTCGTCGCTTGTAAGTGGTTGAAGCCCGAGGTTTTGGAATGAGGAGTTCCAGTCCAAGCTTGAAGTCCGCGGCGTGCATCTTTGCCGGGATCGGACGAGGGATAAGAGTGACAGAGAGGTCGGCCAGATACTGAATTCGCGAGTTTCGAAGGGGTTGGCAGTTCATGTGCCCTTTATGGACTGTGTTGGTTTATTGCCTTGTTTACTCAAGTTTGCTTCGGACTGCCGTGGGCTGATCTGTCAGCCGTTGTGCACACCGTAAGGTTTGCCTACAGCTGACCTGTGTTCTGCCTCGAACAAATTCGCCATCTGTCTGACCGGAAGTTTCGACGAGCAAACCGGTACGTCTCGATCCACGTTGGTCATGTCGCAGATGGTCATAGGAGAGTTTCATCTCGCAGACACTCATTGGAAGTTACATCAGGCTTTGACTCTGTGAGCACACGGCTCCGACAGGAGAAAGTTTTGGACTTGCTGCGTCATCCCCAAGCTGAGATGTTCGGCCGGCATCAGCAGCTGGCCTGAATAAGTACGCCATCGATAATGCAGAGCTGAAGGAAATGCAGATCAGAGCCAGGTCCACCCATGTGCATCATGTTACTCAGTCATATTCATTTCTTCAAGCTCAGGTCTGCCACCGAGATGCCATAGACTTGCCAAACGTCCGAGCCTCTGACAAAAGCAGAGTCGAAATCGCTGCTTGATTTGTGAATCAGGGCTTTATTTTCTCTGTGTTTGTGGCCAGTTGCAGATTCGCTTGACTGAAGAGAGATGTCGCCTGGTTATCTCTGTTTCGAGTCTGATGGCCAGCCATGTGCAGCAGAGTTATGCCTGCTGGTGTCTTCATAGCTCTGCTTGTTTGGAAGCCTCTTCAGCACGTTCTTGATGCTTGCAAGCCACAGCTCGCTGTGCACTTTGGTTGGCGGTACAAGTACAGTGTGCTGCTGAGCTACGGCCGCTACGGCACCACCATGGGCTTGTTAGAAGGTTGTTGACTTGTTCAATCTTCTGTTGCTGTGTTGCAACCCAGTTGAGGGTTAGGATGTGCGCTGGCAGCTCAATGCAGCCAGATCTTGCTGCTGTGTTTCCTTCTGTAAAGGTTGGCGTCACATTCTGCTCAAGACTGCTTGGTTAACAGAGTTCAATGCACCCAGCCGCAGACATGCGCATTAATCGCAGGGTAAGAGTAACCCTCGCTTTGCGAAGCCTTCCAATGAAAGTTATCCACCAAGCTCAGAAGCTTGTGCTTGGATTCCTAATGCCCGAATGCCATGGGTCTGAGCGTGCCGCGCTGAGGGCAGCCAGCCCTGCCAGCCCCACACTCTGAAGCGAGGCAGGTAGCTGAACAGGTATGCCGTTAGGATGCTCTTTAAATTCTAAGGATGAACATACATCCGTTTAGTTGCTCCGCAGCTGCCTCAGAACATCACAAGTTTCCCATCATATGCTCCAAGAGACGAAATCTGAGGCGCATCCAGTGTGCTGCTTGGAGGTTTTCCTAATTTGTAGCCGCTCTGTTCTAGAGACGATAGCAAAGCGCAGGAGTCCAGGCAGCCATGAGCCCTTCCAGCTCTGAAAGGCGAACTTGGGGGGTTCTTTCGTGAGCCTGTGGAAATGCGGCTAAACTCCTGCCTCCTGCGGCAGGTCCTCGAGCAGCGGTTCAGGCTCAGGCGATAGGCCAAAGGAAGCACCGTGGGTGCTTCAGACTCTGCCACAATAGGCTAGACGCTAGACCCTAGACTGCGAGTTCACGCCAGGATGGTCCTGACACTTCTGTTTGGCCCGGAGCATCATGTAAATGGTAGGATGCCATGCGTCCCTTCAGCAACCACTGCGGTGAGGCCGAACACGACGAAGGATGTTGCAGCAAAAGCCGCAGGCATCCGATTTCTTCAAGAGTTTTGGAAAGGGATGTGGTATGCTGGAACCGCTGCTTCCCCAACATAGTACCGCATCCCGTGAGGGCTTCGTAGACGGATTCGGAGCTCTGAAAGGGAATGTTGCTTGTACTACGAGCCCACTACCGGCTCTACCCTTTTCGGGGTCATGGAACATCGTTCCTGCATATGCCATATCGCCCGTGCGTGTGATGCGCATGACGAGGGTACAGGTGGCATGCCGTTGTGAGCTGCGCTATGCTTCACTTGCATGCCTGAGTGCAGGAGAGGAGGAATCTGATTCTGATGAGCAGGAGGCATCGATATCGTCATTCGGAGTTTGTGTCGGTCGGCTTTGGTCTGCCAGGCTTCCCGTGAAGAAGCTGAGGAGGAGAAAGAGGAGGAAGATGAAGAGGAGGATCCCGAGGAGAAGGAAGGAGCAGAGCAAAGTGAAGAAGGAAAAGCCAAAGAGGTGAAAGATCCCGACAGTTCGGACTCGTCGGAGGAAGAGAAGGCAAAGAAGGAGGACAGACTACCGACGAGCTATGCACTTTCGAGCTTTGGTGGTCTTTTCTAACTGCGTGATAGCCGGCATTAACAAGCAAACCCAGAATTTCTGCCAGGAAGCACGTGTTCGACTTGTGCCGGCGGGCCGCGCCCGCTCGCGATCCGAGAAGGCTTGATCTGGGCTTTAGATTGCAGCTTTGCAGGGGTTCGAGCATTGCAGGAGCAAAGCAAGCGCTCCAAGTCAAGGAAGAAGGCCAGTGGCTTCCGTTTGACTGCAGGTGAGACGCCATCGGCTGCTTCTTTTCATATGCATGGAGGACCGGTCTGCCAGCAAGCGGAAGAGGCGGAGCTTGGTGGGTGGTAGGTCCATCTGGTGCCTGCTGTGTCGAGATCTGCGCTTTGACGGAGGCACGCTTCCAGCTCTCCGAGTCGCAGGCGAAAGTCGCCAAAGCGCCCCAGCCGGGCACGTCCGGTGCCGAAGCGAGACCGCTCGCGCTCCAGGTCGGCGAGAAACAAGAAGGCCCCGGGGTGCTTCCAACCAATCTGCACTGCAGCCAGGCACGCACTACCTGCAGCTGTTTTGTGTTTTCGCAAAGGACCGCAACAAGCGTTCCAGGTCAAGAAAGAAGGCCACACTCTGCTTGCGAGCAGCTTTGTCGGTTTGTTGCTCTCGGTGGCTTACTCGCAGTTCGTACATATCGCTTCAAGGGTCATGTCAGACTTTTCAGCTTGAAGTGTCAGTCGCAGCTTGAGGCATCAGCATGCAAGCATACATGAGAGATTAACGACCATCATGCTGATGAGCAGGGAGGACGGAGAAGAACTTAGCAATAAATTGGGATGCGAAAAATGTAGTCGAGGAGCATTGCGAGAACATGGAGGACGATGCTGTGAAGCGATCATCAAGACCTTTGGGTCCAATCGAGTCTGTTGAATCTTTGTGTCAGCGTGAGCGGGGCGAGATGTCTTGAAGCTTTCCCTACGCGAGTGGTGTCGCCAAGGAGGCTTGGACCACAGGCCTCTCCAGAAATGTAAACTGGGGAGGCTGGGGCAAACAAAACCCTTCTTCAATTGATGCACGTTGCGCAGCGGCAAGCACCTGACAATCACGACATCGCTGGAAATGTATCTCCATGGTGCATGCTATGCCAATGACTGCATTGTGCACATCCGGACCTAGCCCAAGGCCGATTCTCTCTAGAGCCTCCTAGGGCCCTGGGGCCTTGGGTTCGAAGATCTCCTGGGTCCGTGTTGGCCGGTGCAGGAAAGATCCTCCAACAGACGGAAGAGGTGCGACCTGGGTGGGAGCTGCCTGGCTTGTGAGAGATGGACTCCTCAAGAGGCATTCCAGCTCCAAGAGTCACAGGAAGAGGCGGGACCTGTTTTGGACTCGCACCGTGTTCCTGCAAGGCTTGCACTTGTCGCAGCACTGCTAGCGGGGTTGAGACAAATAACGGTATGAGCAATCTTGACGCAGCTCCCGGTACAGCTTGTGAGCCGGAGGGCCTGCTTATATCCCTGGGGTTAGTTACTCTTCGGCATTGCTCATTTTCTGTTTCTTGTCACAGCAAACCCTTTTTCTTATCAGAGACCCCGTCTACCCACGTTGCATGGCACAAGTCTTCAGTTGCAGAGGAGCCTCTCGAAGACCAAGGCGACAAACAAGGCCGGTTGATGCCAATGCAAAGTTTTTCGTCAATCATGCCTGCCGTCCTGCCGCGTCTGATAGGCTGTCGACGATGCCCAGGCAAAATGCCGAGACAGTTTCGTTTTGTGGGCTTGAGTGACACTCAATCCTTGCAGGCCAGAGCCAAGCTGGCAGCTGCTCCTGCCACCAAGCATGCAGTCTGGCAAGTCTGGCAAGTGCCATCTGATCACAGGGATTGGCTTAGTTCCCCGAGCAAGATCATCCTTTCATGAATAACTCCATTTCGATCAAGTCCTGCTCCGCAGAAGCACAAAAGATACTTGCCGCTGGCCTGGCCCAGGAAGCTCAGAAAGAGATCACCTCCGCGACCAAGCCAACTGGTCAGACTCCGGTGACGGGCTTGGTTGATAGGATGCAGACACGTCCCCCGTTTCTAGATACATCGTTCATCAGCTTGATGATCGTGTCAAGTTTAACGACTGTTAGTGGCTTGTACAGTCTGCCAGTCAGTTCTCTCCTCTGGCGATTGTCACTCTTTTTGGGCTTTAAGGGTGGCTGAGAGACAGTCACGCCGACTCTTCGTGGCTTGCCACTCCATTCGGGGTTCACGTTCGACCAGTCATTCTCGAAGAGTTCATGCTCACGGTTTCGCCTTGTGGGCTTGGGTTGTTCAGGGGTTTGAGGATGCGAGTTTCAAGGCTTTGCCAGTCAAGGCTCCAGGGTTTCAGCTTTAGGGCCTCGGGAGTTTCCGTGGACGGCTTGATGTGTGGTGCCTGTCCGAGGCCTTGTCTGCTGCGGAAGAGCTGCGGCAGGTCAGCACTTCACTTGCTTCGCAGAGTGCAGAAAGTCTGAATTTCCCGAAAGATTTCCTTCCGTGCCGACCATGTCGCCAGAGCCGGCATGCAGCACTTGATGTCTTTCGCATGGTGAAAGGCGCTGTTTGGAACGAAGCCGGCGGCGGAAGCCCCAAAGCCTGCGCCTCCGAAAATCTCCTTCGGCATACCCAAGAAGCCGCAGGCCCGAGGTGTAATAAGTAGCTCCAGCATGAACCCCAAGTGCATTGTATTGTGAGGTGCGTGGAGCCTTGAGCAAGAGGGTCACAGTGATTTGGTGTCAGAGATGCCTTACCAGTAGCAGCTACTCAGCAGCGCGCATGCAGCCGACTTGAGTAAACAGGTCATGGATTGGAGAAGGCGTTCAGCTCCCGAGACAAAGCCCTTGCAGCAGGTTTCCTCGCAGGGTTTGTACTCTCATGAAGCACGTGATGCCCATTCGCTCGCCTTGATGCCAGAACAGCAGCATGGTGTCTGCGGGAGCCCTGGGCCACAAGAAGATGTGGTCATTCACACAAAGATTCATGTAGTCTGGTTCAAATATGTTCAAATCCCTGACGAGCAGGTTCCAGGCACCGAGTTTGCTTTCCGAGCACATGCAGGTCCGTCTGAGAAGGTTTTGATCCTAGCCGAGGGAGTATCGGTAGCTATGAGACGCTGTACAAGCAGTGCCCTATGAGGGTGTTCGAGTACGCTTCAAAGGAAGATTGTAGTTGTGTTTGGCTGTGCCAGGTGAGTTGGCCCAAGCCGTCGCCGCTGCTCAAGCGTTGCACAATCCTCGCAATCGGGAGGCTCGTGGGCATGTTGCCAAATGGTTACGCATCATGTTGGTGCTCATTGGGTTCTCGGTGCACGTGCCCGACGCGAACTTTTGACAGATATCGCGCAAGATCGCCACCCTCCTGGAGTCAAGACCTTGACATATTTGGACGCTGTGCACTGTTCCTGCAATCTTGCCTGTGCGTAGCAGTTTCGTAGATGCGTAAAGCATGCGGAGCTCAACTGAGGCAGTGCCCGCCAATGACAGACGAAGCCTGCCACACAGCGAGTGAGCGGTGAGGAGTTTGCTTGTCAGTGTCATACCAGGCATTGACTGCCTTACGCGCGCTGCCGTCCGACCAGGCGGTTTCCACGATCACGTGCATGCACAAATGACATGTGCTGTCGGCGAGGTTGTTCAGGTGCTGCAAACCCTGGCAAGCAAGCTACATCCCCAGAGTCCTCAGTGCCTTTGCATGTAGTGCTGTAGCACTAGGTACGGTTTACGAACTGAAGCGTAAATCAAGGCGTGGCGAGATCTCTGACGCATCGGTGTGGGCGTGTTGCCCAGAGGAAGCGTCAAGTGAGGCCCAAGTCATGAGTCTCATCCGGACATGTGCCCCTTTGCCGACTGGCAAGTAAGGTCAGCCATGTCGTGAATCGGCTGGCAGTGGCCGCCTTCAACACAGCGCAGGCATCCCTTGATGCTTCCGAACAGTTTCGCCAAGATACTCGAGCACTTGGAAAACAGGGAGTGCCACAGCCATCCACGATGGTGACAGAGATGCTGAACAGGCTTGGCACGGATTGGACCATATCCTGGCATCTGGCTCTGTCTTTGCTTAGAGAAGTTTTGCCTGATTCGGCAAGGCATCTGCCGAAGTTGGCAACTGCTGCGAAGTCATTGTTGTTGCAAATCCCGGAGGCGGTTGCTCAGTTGGTATAGAGTGAGAGGGGTGTGATGTGCACGCTCGGATTCGAATCCGGGCGTGTCGGGCCATACACCGGATTTAGTTTCAGCTGGGGTTGGGAAAATTCATCAACACAGAAACTTCTTGATTTGAATCGGAGCCTTGCTTTTGTTTCGATTTGAAGCTGATCAATATGGTTTTTTCTTTTTCGATTAGAAATCCGAGCCTAGTCTTTGTTCACGACATCTGTGACACTTTTTCTGAATTGAATCCGAGCCTGTTGTGGACTTTGAGATTTCAACTTCATCAATGCAGAGCCTCCACGCCCATGTGCTTCATCTTGTCGAGGAAGAAGCCCTCAAAGGCCCCGTCCTGGTCGCAGCGGATGTAGTCCGGAAACCCTGCCCAGGACGACCAAATGTCACAAAAAATCGAAAGCACATCCTCCGGCTGCCGCGTCTTGCTAGGGTAGTAGAGGTTGTAGCAGCCGTTGGGTTCGAGGATGTGGAGGAAGCGGTGGGTCACCTTGTCAGCGTTATGGAGGTGCACAATTGTCGACACACACCTTCGAGTTGACTTGGCCTACCACTTTCAAGGAAGTAGGTCTTGGAGGTAATGGTCGCCGGGTCCTTTCGCAAGTAGCACATCTCAACCTCCTACAAGGAGATCGCGTCGGGATCCACCTTGGTGTTTTGAACGAATGCCCTGATCACGTCCTCCATGCGAGGGTTGCCGAGGTTACGGTGCATACGCACCAATGCACGTGTCAAGGCTTTCTCCTTCTCGCGCAAAGGGCCCCTTTTTCGCTTGCTAGGTGCGTATCCCAGCACGAAGATCGCATATCGTGCGCCGGAGTCACGAACTGCTCCCGCGGCGCCTAGGCTGGGCTTCCTTGCCGATGGCATTCCTCGAGACCGGCCTTCTCTCGCTTGGCTTTGGGGGGATGTGCCACTCGGCCAGAGCGAGCTGCCACGGCACAAGCGCCTGAACCTTCTTGTAGAGGCCCGTGTCGGGGTGGAGTGATGTAGTAGCAGCCGTCGAGGTTGATCGCAAAGTCCTTCTGGTTCTCCGCGATCGCGTGGCCGCCCCGGCTGCACTGGTCCCGAAGCAACTCGCCCATGAGTTCCTGGAAGATCTTACTGGCCTCGGTTTGGGCTTGCCGTCGTGCTGGGACTGTTTGCAAAGCCTTCCACGAAGTGCCGGAACCCGATCACGGCCAGCCGCGGCCTGTGCTCCTCGAGGGCGAGCGCCGCAGCCATTGTAATTGGTCTTGCCTCCTAAGGTCGATGCCGTAGCGGTTGTCGATGGTCAGGTTCCAATGGTGGGCCGCGTGAGAAGAGATACCTAGCTGGTGCGCCGAAGATCTCGACAAGGTCGTGGTTGAACCTCACGCGTGGCCACCGACTCCCATCGATCCTCGCCGCAGCGGCCTCGCGGTGCACCTGAGACGCCTCCTCAGAGCTTGGCGTGCATTGTCCCGCATCCTGCGCTTCTGACCTGTCCCGGAAGACACCGTGACACCGTCGCTGCCTCCCAGGAGTCCTGCTCGCCCTCGAACTTCACTGTCGCCGCGTCCTGACCGCCGTTTGGTACGCCGCCTCCTGCTGCCTGCGATGAGCCGCCGCCTGACGGCGCTTGTCCTCCAGCCGCTGTGCCGCCATGGTTTTGATGCGCTCGTGGGTGGTGAGGGTGCGGGGGGTCCGGGCACGCATTGGCAGCCTTTAAATATTCTCGAAACACATACAAAAACCTGTAAAAGTGCTGGAAGCGGTGTAAGTGGTGGGAGGGGTGCTGGCAAGCCGAAGGATGGGCGGGTGTGGGTGGTGAGGGTGCAGGGGAGTCCGCAGCCTTTAAATACTCTCTAAACACATAC